TTAGATAGTTTAGATAGTTTGGGGGCCCCGCCCCAGGGGCGGGTTTAGATAGTTTAGAAAGTTTAGATAGTTTGGGGCCTCCCCTTGGGCCCCCAAACTATCTAAGCTATCTAAACCCAGCCCCTGTGCTCTGTCTATTCTATATATAACCAAACAAAATCATCACATTATACAGAGAGGTTCCTCGTACATACATATATACAGATCATGCATGCTATGTAAACTATACAATGAAATTTCTGATGAACATGGATCAAGGAATCCAAGTACCTTGTTATAGAGCTCCAGTTTACAAGTCTGTCCTATTTATGAAATAACTGCCTTTCGCAAAGTTTGTCAAACTTTATGGTTTCTCCTACAAATCCCAAGTTTGTCACAATAGAAAGAACCAAACGGATGTAGTTAAGAAACAAAAAGTTCGAAATATGTTTCCCGAGTTGAGTAATCATGATATTTCAGAATCATAGAATTTGCCATGACGCAAAGCTGGGGCCACCACAGCGTCCCTTTCTGATTTTTGTTGTAAATAGGACATAGTCATGGAAAATAGGAAGTAGTAAGTGGTCATTTGTGATAACAAAGAGTAACTTAGGGTTTCATGCTGTTCGTATGTGTAGACAGACACCAGCATTATCATGGAATAGAGGAATGGGATGATGTAGCGTGAGATGATGGCATGATCTCGTTGTACGGTTTTTGTATTGCCTTGAGTGAATGAATCGTGAAGAAGATGCCAGGACATGCAGTTTGCGTCATGTTGGCTCGTCATGGTTAATGTAATGCTCGTCCAAACGCTTTTGGGACCAGCGCTCTAGTCTAAAACCCTTGTCACTCCTAGCGGTCCTAGCTGTCAGCTTTGTAGCCAGAGGCCCGACGAAGCGCCGGGCAGCGGTGGACCTGTCCAAACTAAAAAAAGGCCGCACGCTGCCCCACTTCCCTGCTGCACTTCACTGCACTGCACCGCACCCACGGATCCCAATTTCAACCTTGGCCAGGTGATGCAGGTGATGGTGACCTTGAGTCCATGGATTGGCTTCTTTGTCGCATGGTTTTGCATGGAGCCAACAATAGTGCCGTCTGACTTGCTCCCATATGAGGCGAAGCTTGGAGCTCAAGGGAGGCTTGGCAGGCCGACAGCCTTATTGCAGCAGCTGTGCCCATTTTGCAGCCGAAAATACTTCTCCGGAATCGAATGGAGGCCTTAGCTTCTCCAAGAGTGATGGGGCTTCGGAGTCTTCGATCTTCAAGACCGTGCTGACCACCAGGTTCGGCGAAAAGAAGTAACCACATCGTTCACTGCTATTGCATGGACTGATCTTGCTTTTGGCCATCCTGTTCTGTAGGTTTGCCAAGTCATTGAGGGCCTTGGGGAACAAACGCCTGGTGCTCCTCTTAGAATTGTCGTCCTAAAAACGTCATAGAGGCAGCAGCCTTAGCAGGTGCAGTTGACGCAAGAAGTGCCCAAAGCTATGGAGGCAGGGCGGTGCACTGGCACGCAATGCTATAGGATGCTGCAGATGCCTTTGAAGTACATGAAGGAGACAGACCCTCGACGAGGCGCGTTTAGTTGCTGAGTCCTTGGAGATCTGAAGCAGCTGGAGCAGCTGGGCCAGGAGGGGAGCCCTGGGAGTCTTCGACCGCGGTCGCTTTGGCGCCTTGGGATGATCATCATGTCATGATGTGATGCCTTGCTTGGGGAGAAGTGCCCTCGTGTGAGAGACCCAAGGACCTTGGCATGGCTTCGAGACCGGCAGAGGCATCACAAAATGCACGAACACGTAGTGACATATGTTATGACACATGTTCACATACAATTTTCACTGGGCTCATGTTGGCTGGTCCTTGAACCCGCAGCACTTCAGTGACACATCGATGCGGTTGACCCATTCATGCTGTTCGTTTTTTGCAACACGTGATGCGCGTGCAATGGTGGTGATGGTGATCTCCGGGGTATTGAGACACCCTCAGATGGCCAAGATCTGTCTGTATCTTGGATGCTCCACAATGTCGTTTCATGCTTAAGATGCTCCAACCTTAAAATGTGATTTGAGGGCGCAGTGGGCCTCTTGTGCGCCTAAATTTCGACTTAAGGGCATAACACATTGCGGGGGGGATCCTGCTTCTGGGGCCATGGGGACCATTACCATCACCTAAGCATTCTACATGGAACGCGCATGCTCTGGGGTGGAATTTGTTTGGCCTATGTTGGTGCCATGCCAGCGCTTGGTGCAGTGACAGGTGCCGAGCGCGCCGGGTGTGCCAGCCATCCATCGCGCCTCTTCGGCACCCTCGCTGGCGCGGGAGCTGTGTGAAGCTCTTCAGAGATTGCAGAAATTGTGACAGGTGCGCCGACCTGCGAATGGCACAAGAAGTCGGCCTGGAATCCCAGTGACGTCGAGTGTGGCAGTTTGTACAAAGTGGTGTGGCCACGGAGCTTCAAGGAATGACGTCGTCATGCACGTGCCTCAGCGTTGGGGCGCTGAGGCAGGGAGGATGCTACAAAAGGGCTCGGCCAAATGCAACTTGCCTGTAGCAGCAGCGCCTGAGTCTGCAGAGATTTTGAGTTGTCAGACAGTTGGCTCTACACAATCTAAGAGAGGTCTGAGATCTGGATGCTCTTGACTACCCGAGAGGCAGGTGATCGCTTCCGGATCTACGCAGCTGCTTCCTGACTGCAATTGCAAGCATCTGCAAGTGACGCTAAATAAAGAAGACATGAGCGAGGCTCCATTTGCATCTTCTAACCTGCTTTTGACCCTTCCGAGGAGGGCGCATGCGCAGAAGGTTGCTTTTTCCCACCCCGGGTTTTTTTCCCCCCATGTTTGCCGCCGCACTGTTGCAGCATGATGCAGCTGCTGGGCTTCACACTTTGAGAACCGAGGCCAAGACTGGCACCGACAGCCAGGATCTGCAGCACGTGCGCCAAAGGCGGCGAATAAAAAGAAAGAAAAGACATCTACAATTGAAAGCTTGTTTTGTGAACAGGCCGGACCCTGGACAGATCATGCCCTACAAGTCGGGAGCTCGCTGATCCTCGCTGCGTCAGCTCACGTCAGCTTTGAAGCCTTGAAGCTTTGAGGTGCAAGCTGTGCTTGAGATTGCACAAGCTTTGTCCCGGCCACGACATCTTGCAGTGAGCTGTTTCACGGCCGTTAAGGTTGTTTTCAGCGCCTCCATCCCCGATGTTCCTACTCCGAAGCTAGTTTCCAGCCGAAACCTGCGGCAACAGCATGATCCGTCTTGGCTTCCGGCCTCCGGCCCACAAATCTACAATTCATCGGGGGATGTCCATTTTACCACAGCACCTTCAATCCTGCAAATGCAGGCCGAAGGAACAGAGGTTGTTCGCAAGCTTCAATATGAGATCTGCAGCCATGCATGTATGCTGCACATGCCGTATGCCGCTTTGTGCACAAGCCACAGTGCCGGAGTGCCAGGCAGCTCCCGGTGCTGAAAAAGTCATGAAGGTCATGGACATGGGAGTGATAGCATGCGGCAAAGGTACGCTATGGATCAGTACAACTTAGAGAAGGACATTGCCTCGTACCTGAAAGAGCAATTCGAAGTTGAGCTGCTGGGCCAAAGCTAGGCTAGGTCAAGGCCAATTTGTTGATTGAATTTTGGAAGATAGGTATGGTCCGACGTGGCATTGCATGGTGGGCCGGCACTTCTCCAGCTACGTGCCCCGGTAAGTGAGTTGGTCGAAAACGTGTTTAGGTAAAAAACATGGAGGGGAGAGGTGTGAAAGATCCAGCTTTGGCTTCGAGAGGTGACGCACGAGAAGGCCTGCTATTGCCCGGAGCCGAGGAGCAAAAGAAGAAGGAAAAGAGAGTGGAGAGGAGAGAGGAGGTAAAAGAAGAGTGGAGAAAGTGATGAGTTCGGGGCCTCTCTCAGCCCGGCCTCGCTGGGCTGCAGCCTTTCGACAGAGCACAGAGCACACAGGGCACACAGAGCACACAGAGCACACAGCAGAGAGAGTGTCTGAGAGTATCTGAGAGTGAGACATTCCATGTTTGTTGTGTCTCTCTCTTCTCGAAGAAGTGGGAGAGTTCAAGGGCTGAGTCACATGGTGTGTCCTTCGCTCACTTCCATGTCTTTTTTGAGGCTATTTCTACATTGGTCAGATGGGCCGGGACCCCCAGCTCTTGACAACGAACAGCATCTGCAGCACCGCTTTTTCAGCACACAAATTCCCAGTCAGGCGTGATGTTGTTCAAGACCCCCTGAGCCCTCAGCTGAAGCGCAGCCGGGTTTCAGCCTCTTTCAGCCCCTGATTATGGCCTGGCTTGGGCTTGTCTCACGACTGGAATTTCGATTGCGGACTGGACACGAGAGATTCAAATGAACACGCTTCTGCAGAGTTCTGCAGCTTTCCAATGTTGTCTCGCCAATTGCATGACGACCATGAAGACCTCCCGTCTGGAAGACGATGCAAACTGGCAAGCCATACGCAGTAAAGTATATATACTTTGGTCTTGTAGCTCATCAAGCATGCCATACACCTTGCAATTCAGTTGGAGAATTATTGCGATCTGACTTCGGGGATAGCTGGCGCCAGGCACTTTCCTTGTGTCAGATGCATCTGGTTAAGGCACAACAGACCAAAAAGTGAACACGTGCAGCAACACGGCAAGCCACGACCAGCTGCGACAGCTCCCGCTTCTCGGAGCTTGGAGATGGCTGGTGGGGCGATGGAGGCAGGGCGTTTTGACCTCTTTTGGATCTTCGTCAAATATTTGTGATGTTGCATGGTAGGGTGCTTGGTTGCTTGTGACAGTCTGGGCTCGAAACTTGTTTGTGAACTCTCCGCTGTTTGCTCTCCGCGGTCCGCGCTCTTTTTCACTGCCATGAGCGACTCGGACTTCACGGTGCCTTGGCTCCAGAACAGAAAGGGTAACCTAAAAGAGCCGCTCGCTCTGTTTCTGAGGTGCTGTGCTGCGGTGGCGGCAACGCAGCGCAGGCGGCAGGCTGAGTGAGATTTGAGAGGTTTGCCTGTTTTGTTGACTCCGGCTCAGGTGGCCACGGGGCTTTTTGCGGTGCGCTACAAGACCATCGCGGTCTCTTTCTTTGCCGACGAGGCAGCAAAGTGGAAGGAGGCATTGGGCGATGCAGACTTTGAGCCTTGGGAAGCACTTATGCGCTGAATGGTCAAGTGTGGTAAAGAATCATCAAGAATCCAAGGAGCTCACGCTTCCAGGACAGGGATGCCAGACTGGTTTTCGGGCGCTTTCCCGATGAATTTCAGAAAACGCAGGAGGTGGAGTGATGAAGTCAAAGCCGGCGGACTCCATTTCACTCCTCTCAGACCAGCTTTGGGATGGTTGCGGATGGCTGCTAGTGGGCTAGTGAAGTGCAGGACATCACCAACGATCCCTCCGTTGCCAAGGAGTCTGCTGTGTGCTCGCCAAATTCTCCGATTCAATTAGCTGCTTCGAGCAGAAGCTCATATTCTCCGTGTCTCTGGCTCAGCCATCCCAAAATGTCAGGCGGAAGTATGGAAGTATACGAACATGCCGAACCCGCGATACTCCGGCAAACCCAGCATGCCCATGACAAAGGGAAAAACCCCTCCCCAATCCACCCAAGCCCAACATGAAGCAGAACAAATCTCAGAAAAAACAAAAGCCAACCCACCCAAAACCCACGCATGAAGGAAGACCCCAACCCACCCCAGCCCAGGTGGATGGGAGACGCGTCCTACAACCTGGCAACCCCAACCGACCCCAGCCCCACATCACATGAAGGGAGACAGGGGCACAAGGTTTCATGATTTGTCCGGTCCCTGATTCCCATCAAGTTGTCCATCATCTCACATGTCACATGATATGCAAAAGGGCGCAACCCCCCCTGCTGAATTCAATCATCATGTTTGATCAGGTTTCATCATATCTCATCATCTTCACCATGTTCGACAGTCGTTCAAGAGTTGTCAAGGCAGCTTTCTTACGTTGCATCTTGTTTCTTTGCATCGTTACTTTCACCAGCTTTAGCCATGGTTGATCATTATTCATTTTTCGCATCATGCTTAATCATTGAAATCAATCACTTTTTAATACACGTTATCATTGTTTGTCTTTTTGCATCGTATTTCATGGCATTGTATTACGTTCATCATCTTCCATCATGTTTCATGACTGGCCATCGTTTTCTACCGTTCTCATGATTGCCCAACACATTTCATCTTCTTCATCATCTTTCAACACCCCTAATGATGTTAATCATGCCTTATTTGTCTTGTCACATTGCATCTAAACTCCTTAACACGGATTATATAGGGGAGCATGGCCGAGGTGATTAAGGGGGACACTAGGAGTNNAGGAGTTCAGACTACAGCCCATATTGCAATTGCTGCAACATATCTACACATTGTCATTATTGTCGATCAGGTTTCATTGCTGTTGTCATGCTTCATCATGCTCATCATATTTCTCGGTTTCCCTCCTTTTTCCATGATTTTTCATGGCGTTCCTTTATTTGTCCGCCGTTCTTCATGACTTGCAAATGCGGGGGCTCCCCACAACACCCTTTCCCCCATACGCCACCACATCCCCCCCCACCCACTCAAGGAAGGAACAGACACC